TGATAACCCAGTTTTCTGGCCTCATGGTTGTAATAAATGATTTTCTTTTCTTTTGATTTGATTTGATTATGCAGTCTAGCCTATAGTCCTGGGGTTTCCTGGTTGGTTTCTCATCCCAGAACTAACCTTACTTAGCTTTTAAGCCAAGACAAGGTTCACTAGATCTCACCACCCGCTTTCTGGCTTAAAAAATGATCAGGCAGGAGAAGATGGGAAACATTTATGACTAAAGCTCTGAGAATGGCTACAAATCAAAACAAGAAACATTGGATTAGATAGCTACAAAAAAAAGTATCTGATCTGGTCTCAAGTGCCTTCCTGTTGTGGCTACAGCCTCTAAAGCAGCTGTTATGGTTTCAGAGATTTCCAATCCAAGAGGCATAGTAACCCCTGGTGGAGGAGACTTTTCTCAGCATGGCCATTCCATGTCACTTGCTTGCCTAAATTTCTGAGCAGCTGGCCCCTTCTTTTAACAATATGCCCGGGGAGAGAAAGTCATCGCCATTTGGTCCTTCTCTAACCACCGAGAACATACAGCTGCTGCTGGGAAGACTGGAGGGGAATTTCCAAAACGTATCTGCAACTTGCAGTTGCAGATAGCTGTGTCACAGTCACCTGGAGCCTTCTAGCTGCAGCCCTCCCCAAGATTTAGTTATCTGAAGCATTTTTACCCTGCTTTTGGAATCCAGAAAGCTCCCACATCACCCACCCAGCAGCTTTCTGAGGGAAGACAGATCCTGCCTCAGGCTAACCATTCTGGAGACAGGAGCACCCCAGGAAAGCGGATGGGGAGGGAAAAGGAAGACAACAAGCGCCAGGACAGCTTCTCCTCTTGGAGGCTCCTTGCAAACTGGGCCCTCTCATCACTGCTTTGGGAACCATCTCATTTCGCTGCAACATTTCCAGAATAGCTGTCATTAGAAGAGAGGAGCAACTGCACCTTTTCCACCTCTCCGACTGACCCCATTCTGTGCTCAGGGTACCTTTTAGTGTGTCTATAACTAGTAGGCATATTGCATTTATGATATAGTCGGCATCTGAGTGACATGCTTATCCATGGTTAACCAAGTCATGGTTTCCTCAGCCCAACCACCTGGATTCACACCGCAAAGTCAGCTCTAAGTTAACTGCATGGACTGGGTCTAACCAATGAAACAACTTCCTGGATGTCTGGCTA